TGCCCCCTCGCCCCCCAAAAAAAATAAAGAAGCAAATTAAAAGCATCCAAAAAGCAAAACAAAGTTTTCAACCATATCATGATGATGGGAAAACAAAAACTGGAGAAACTGTTTTATAAATAAGGTGAGATAATTGGTAACACATCCCATCCTCTGGTTGTACCCCTAGAAGACTATTCATAGGACTAGGGTAAAAGAAAGGTAGACTACATCTGACAAAGACTACAAACTAGCCTCAAGTCACTTCAGTCTTTGAGTTGAAATGATCTACCTCTCTGCTGCCCCCCTTTTTAAAATTTTTATTTAAATTCCCTTTAGTTAACATACAATATAATATTAGTTTCAGGTGTATAACTTAGTGATTCAACACTCCCATGTTACACTGGTGCTCATCACAACATCTGCTGTCCTTTAGAAAAAAGTAAATCCTTTCTGGAAAGAGAAAACACTATCCAGACTCTATAGTCCGAACATTGGTGTCTGTCCTCCAAAATTCATATGCTGAAATCCTAATATCCAATATGAAGGTACTAGGAGGTGGAGCCTTGGAGGCTCTAAGGTCATAAGGATGGTGCCCTTATGAATGGGGTCAATGTTCTTACAAGAGAGACTCCACAGAGATCCCTTATGCCTTCCACTACATAAGGACACAGTGAGAAGTCACTGGCTATGAACCAGGAAGAGGGCCTTTAACAGAATGCACCCTTTTCTGTGCCTTGATCTTAGACCTCTCAACCTCCAGAACTGTGAGAAATAAATTTCTGTTGCTGAAAAACCACCCATTCTGTAGTATTTTCTTATAGCAGCCCAGACTACAACACAGACCCTTTATATTTTCCCATACAAATGCTGGCCATTTAATAAAAAAATCAGCTGACATTTAAAAAAATCCATAATCAAGATAAAAATCAAGCTTATTAAAGATGCCACAATAAAGTCTATCTCCATTTTGGAAGCCTCACAGAGCTCCATAATAGCTCACTTAAATTCAAGTTCAAATTTAATTAGATGAGGGACACCTAGGTGGCTCAGTGGTTGAGCATCTGCCTTTGGCTCAGGTCGTGATCCTGGGGTCCTGGGATTGAGTCCCACATCAGGCTCCCAGCAGGCAGCCTGCTTCTCCCTCTGCCTATGTCTCTGCCTCTCTCTACATGAATATCTTTTGTGAACAGATAAATAAAATCTTTTAAAAAACAAACAACAACAACAAAATTCAATTAAATGAAACATGGCACGTTCCAGTCATCAGTCAAACATCAGGGGTCAACCCAAATGAAGAATCTTACTTCATATTGAATGTTTGCTGACAGCTTTTAGGACCCAGTCTTCTCCCTTTCCAGTTAAGTGTCTGCATTTGGCTCAGATCATGATCTCAAGGTCCTGAGATTGAGCCCCGCATCTGGCTCCCTACTCAGCAGGGAGTCTGCTGCTGCTTCTTCCTCTGCTCCTCCCTCCTGTTTGTATGCACCTGCTCTCTCCCTTCACCTCTCTTAAATCAATCAATCAATCAATCAATCAATCAGTCAATCAATCTATCTTTAAAGAGATATGTTAATTATAGTTATTTTTAAAGTCCAAGTCAAAGAATCCTAATATTTTGGTCAATTTTGTTTCTGTTTTGTGGTTGCCTCACAGAGAGAGCTCTTCCCCAGCCACAAACAAAAAATGGCTTGCATTTTGAGACTGAGGATGCAACACACCTATGAATAGGGTATGAGAAGGTTTATTAGTCACAAAAAGGGACTTTTGAGGAAGAGCAGAGCAGGCACCTAAGCTAGTTTATAGTAGTGTCAGCCCAAAGAAGAATAAATGGTTTTGGTTTTTATCATGTTAGGGAGGTGGACTCGGGTTGAGACCTCCATGTGGGAGCTAGGGTTTGAATGGTTCAAACTTCCCTACTGACATCAAAAGAAAGGTCAGTTTTCTTACTCACTTGCCCAGTTGTGGGGGCAAGATGGAAAGGGACCCCTAACATATCTCTTTAAAAGAGAGGACCCAATAATGAATTTGCTGCTAGAGAACTGGAATCAATTTTAAAAATTGAATAGAAATTTTAAAAAACAATTGAATCCAATAGATCAGTTTCAAACACATTGGACACAGATGGAAGCAGGATGAGGGAGCTGAAAACTAGGTCAATAGAAAATAACCAGATAAAAGCATAGCTTAGGGAAAAATTAAGGCTTAAATGCATATATTATTAAAATAAGAAAGGCTAAAAATCAATAATGTGATTATTTATTTTAGAAAGCTAGAAAAACAGTAAGATATACCAGAAGAAAGCCGAAAAATAAAAAAATAACAGCATAGATAAAATAGAAAACAAAGAAAATTTGCAAACCTTAAAGAAAATATTAAATTGATAAACCTCTTACAAAAGTAATCAAGAAAAAAGAGAGAAGATACCAATTAGCAGTATAAGAAGTTAAAAGAAATAATAATGCAGCTACAGATTATTTTTAAAAGGAGAATATTATGGATAATTTTATGTCAAATAATTAGGAAATTAAGAAAAATAACAATTCCTAGAATACAACTTAGGAAAGCTGACTCAAAAAGAAATAGAAAATTTAAATGGGCTTGTGTTTAGTAAAAATAGTTGAACCTGCAATGTAAACCTTTCCTCAAGCAAACACCCAGGCTCAGGTTGCTGTATGAGTGAATTCCTCCAAATATCAAAAAGAAATAACAATAAGTAATGACAGTCTTACTCATTCGCTTCCAAAAATAAATAGAAGGAATAATTTTCTACTCATTTTTTGAGGGAAAGCATAATTTAGATCCCAATACTCCTGAAGGAGATTAAAGGAAACAAAAAACGTAATTGTCTCAATATGTGCAGAAAACTTGTTTGATACAATTCTATACTTTAAGCGAATGAGTAATAAGAGAGAACTAAATTAAGCAAACAAAAAAATCTGTGAGAAGTCTAGAACGAACAATAGAATTAATGGTAAAATATCAAAATGTTCTCATGGAGGTCTAGAAGTAACAAAAATATAAATCTCCACAATATTTTACTGAAGGTCCTTGCTAGTGCAATGATGAGAGGAAAGAACAAGGTAAAAGAATTGGAAAAGAAGAAATACAACTGTCATATTTTGCAGACAGCATGATTGTATACACAGAACACCCAAAAGGAAACAAACTCTGGAATCAGTAGGTGAATTATCAAGGTCAATGGATATAAAATCAATATAGTAACTAAATTTTTCACATTACGGACACAAATACCTAAAGGCTTGAAAAGATGCCCACTTCTATATATATATATGTACTTTAAAAATGAGAAAACTGGTGACTCTCAGCCCATGCTCCAGCTTTTTTTTTACATGTATGCATCAGCAATCTAGCACTTATTTGAAGGACATAAGCTACAGAAATTATTTTGATTCCAGTATTCTCCAACCCAACAGAGGCCAATCGCACATCTCAGTTGCTTCATCTTCTAGGCACCGAGACATTCCGAAATGCTGCTGGCTGCAGTGACCAGACCACGGGTAGTGAAGGGAATAACTGAGAGAAGCAACACAATGATTTTCTGAAGCATGGAGTTCTGACTGACCTGAGCTTCTGCTTCTGCTACAAGTTTAGGGTTAAGGACCACTCACAGTGGCTGGATACCCCTAGAGTGAATCCTACAGATAGGATGAGGGGAAATGGTGAATGAGTCGAGGGTCTATCATAGAAGAAGGAAGAAAGAGTAGATATGAGGGCTGCTTGGACTCACATTTACACAGGGCATCAAGTGTGAACCTTAAGTATTATCTCAAATAGGTCTATGTATAGGATTACACAATGACACAGACAAGACTGGAAGTAGGATATGTTTATCACACAACTCTAAACACGTGTCCCTGTTTCTGCCCGCCATGCCTGCAACACACCTTTAACATTTTCTATAAGTTCTGCAATTATTTTATAAACACTGAAGTTATATAAATGCATGACCTAACTCTGTTAATACTATTATTTTATTACATATGAATATTCAAAACTTTTATAGCATTCATTCAGTATTATTTGTTTTCTTCTTCCTTCTCCCCTTCCCACTTTACCCCTGCTCCAAATCTATTTTATTTTTAGCTTGCATTTAAGTTGCCTGTTATTTGAGTAATTTCATTTTATCCTGAGTTAAAGTGGGGATATACCAGAGTTTCGTTGTTGTTTTTAAGTGCTCAGAGCTTGGCCCTGAGAACTATTCCCTAAATTTGCCAGAATCTTTTCCCCTTCTAGACTCTTCCTCTAGCATCTACACACACATATTATTTAACATATTTAAGTTTCTATTCAGTCCCACATCAGAAAATCCAACCTTTGCCAAGCTGTTGGTTTTCAGCTCCTAGATATAGGCAGCCTGGTTGTCATTTCACTCTTATTTTGTTTGCCTTAAATAAATATTTTTTCAATATTACATAACACAATTCTGCATTTATAAGACAATTCCCATTGGTTTATCTCACACATAGAATATCCTTAGGACTCTGAACTTGGACTCATCTCATCCTACTGCCCCAAGATCCTTCATCAGGTATCCCAGTATCTCTATGGGGAAAGTGAGATATTTTTTTCACCACTTCATAATATGGCCAGCTAATCTAGGTGCAGAGGCATGGAGTAGAGATGGGGATAAGGAAGAAGAAAAGGGATCAATATTTAAACCTTCACTTGGCAATTTTAATTCAATTCCTTCAAATCAAAGCTGGCATTCAGCATTTTGGAGCTTCTCTTCTACCTCTCCTATTTTTTCAGAAAAATTATCATTTTCCAGAACATGTTTAGAATTGTGGGATAGATAAAGGAGAGAATACTAATAATCTTCCTCTTCTGCAAGGGATGGAAGCAACAGAAGGTTAAAAAAAAAAAAAAAAAAAAAGAGGTTCCAAGACTTTTTTTTCTTTACGAAAGCTAAGGAAGGGCTATCTACTGAAACTGTAAGAGTTATATGTGGAGACTAAACCCAACAGTAAATTCTACTCCTCAGGCTTTTCCTGACTTACCTCCACCAGTTTGTTGGCATGCTCACGGAAAACCTGGGCATATTCCTTCACTTCCTTTTCATTCCCACTCTTTGCAGCCTCAATGAGAACTAGCAAGGGGACATTGGTTTCCAAGAAAGAATCAGATATGTGATCCATCACTGCTTTCCGAAGCTGCAGTAAAAAACAAAAACAAAACACACACAATTAAGGAATAGAAGAATGGTGTATTTATGAGTCTATTATTCATTTAGCGATATGGATTAAATAACTACCTGAGAATAAAACATTTTTCTAAACTATGCCCAGTTCTCATTATCCATTGAAATAATGTTTCAACTCTTATTAATTTTCCCAGTGCTTATCATATCACAGTAAAATAAAGAGGGCAGCCCTGGTGGCTCAGCGGTTTAGTGCCGCCTTCAGCCCAGGGCCTGATCCTGGAGACCCAGGGTCGAGTCCCACGTCAGGCTCCCTGCATGGAGTCTGCTTCTCCCTCTGCCTGTGTCTCTGCCTCTCTCTCTCTCTCTCTCTCTATGTCTCTCATTCATAAATAAAAGTCTTTAGAAAAAAAAAAGGTGAAACAAAGAGAGATAACTGATAGATGGTTTTCAATTAACTGTATAATACATCAATTTGGAAGTTACATATATGGCCTGTAGCTTAATACATTATAGGTCCTCTCTTATCTAATGTCTATTTTCCTCCTTCATTGGTTCAAATGTCTCCATTTAGGAAGTTTTGAATCATGATACAGCTCAAGGACACAGGGCTCAGTTCAAGGCTTGTTAGAAAAAAGGAGAAATCTAACCATCAACCAGCAAGTGGGGTGAGCTTTAGATGAAGAGATAGGCCTTGAAGCCACCCCTAAAACTTCACCTTTTTGCAGTAGTCTGCCCTTTCTACATCCATTGTTCGAATTTGCTGGAGGTAGAAACATGAAACTTCTCACAACCTCCAAGTGCTATGATGATACAGTTGCAGTGAGCCAGTAAGAAGTACCTAGAATTACTCTTCAAGGTAAGTAAAAATAAACATACCCAAATATCTAACAATGCTTAATTATACACCATTTCCACATTGTTAAAATGGGAAGCAGGGCAGCTGCATGAAAAAAAACGAAACTGTATCTAGAAAAACACGTGAGTGCTGCTTTGCTCATAATTGTCAGGATGTATACAAGGAGAAAACACTCAAATAAATGCAAGAGAAGATGGCAAACAATGTGTATATTTTCCAAACAAGTATAATTACTCAGGAGTATTCAGGCACATCTTTCAGGAAGGTGATACATACATATTTATCATTAGAAGAAGGAGAACTTTGAAAAACTCAGTTCCTTTTTGTGTTAATTACAATAAGGTATATATATGTATATATATATAACTTAGTTTGGTTTACCTCTGAATTGAGCTTGATATTTCACCATATAAAATAGATAAAGCTTATGCAATGTTAATATAATCAGCTACTTATTTGGTAGCATGTTTTAAACTACAGCTCAGGGGGGATCCCTGGGTGGCTCAGCAGTTTGGCACCTGCCTTTGGCCCAGGTCACGTTCCTGGAGTCCCGGGATCGAGTCCCACATTGGGCTCCCGACATGGAGCCTGCTTTTCCCTCCTCCTGTGTCTCTGCCTCTCTCTCTCTCTGTGTGTATAATAATAAATAAATAAATAAATAAATAAATAAATAAATAAATAAATCTTAAAAAAAATAAAAACTATATAAACTACAGCTCAAGAATAATGTTGGCTATTGGTGAGCTCATATAATCCAGATACACACAATGTACCAGATAATTAATATCTTTACATCTAATATCATTTAATCTTCAAAACACCACCATAAAATAGGTACAATTGTTATACTAGTTTTTCAAATGAAGAAAATGAGACTGAGAAACGTTAAATAACTTGTCTGCAATTATAAGGTAACAAGTGGCAGAGCCAATGGTAAGACTGTCTAAGGAAACAGTACAGTGAATACTTGAAACTGATCTGCTATGGCTCTCTTCCAGTATAGAGTCCCACATGAAGGAGTAACTATTGAGAGTATAATCAAAATTGAACTTGACAGGGATAATAGAGGTAAAAGAAAAAGAAGGCCCAGATGAAGTGGGGAAGATGAGCAGAGAGCCATGCTATCAGCAATCAAGTCACCATATTTCTTAACAACATACAAAAATAACAGATGTGAGAACTCTGTGAAGTTAGAATAGCTGAGTGCATCAAGCCTCTTTCTAAACCTTCAAGGAGAGTTAATTCATATAAAAATGAGCAACTTAAAATTATCAAGGTCAAAACTCGCATAAAGTTTTTACAAGAAAAAGAAGAATAAGGAATATAATACCATCCTTACACACACTGAAAGTATGCCAGAAACATATACATATACCTCAGATTAAAACTGTAAACTATCTCAAATAAATAAAGATACAGTAAATAATGATAATATGAGAAAAGATGTAAGTTAGAAAAAAGGAAAGATTACAGAATGAGGTCTTGAAACTTTAAAAAAAATATTGCATTTATTCATATGAGACTGAGAGAGAGAGGGAGAGAGAGGGAGAGCAAGCACGAGTCGGGGAGGAGGGGCAGAGGGAGAGGGACAAGCCGACTCTCCACAGAGTGGGAAGCCCCATCCAGGTCTGGATCCCAGGACCCCTAGATCATGACCCAAGCCAAAGTCAGACACTTAAGCAACTGAGCCACCCCAGGTACCCCTAGATCATGAAGCTTATGAAAGAGTTATAAATAAAAGAAAAGTCCTTTAAAAAAAGAAAAAGAAAAAAGACTAAGGAATGAATAAACACAATAGCAATGCCTTAGGAGAAGTGGAAAGAGAAAAGAAGGAAAACATTTTAAAATCCAAAAGAAGCCACCTTCTAACTGTCATTTAGGCATCAGACTCTTGGTTTCGGCTGAGGTTATGGGCTCAGGTTGTGATCTCTAGGTTGTGAGATCAAGCTCCACATCAGGCTCCACGCTCAGCATAGAGTCTGCTTGAGTTTCTCTCTCCCTCTATCTCTGTCCTTCCCTGCTCTCTCTCTCTCTCAAATAAATAAATCTTTAAAATAAATAAAATAAAAAAGTAATTAAAAAGTAATTTTAAAAATTTGAGATAAAGTGACAAATATTGAAGATAGATAAAGAAAAATTTAATATATGGGTACCAGAGGTATCTGAAGAAGAAAACCAAGATAAGAAGACAGAACAAATACTAAAAATTATAACTCATGAAAACTTTCATAGACACATTAACTACATTCTGGAAGGGCATACCATGTACCTAAGAAGACTGATGTATATTGTCAGGCAAAATAACTGGATTCTAAAAAATAAACAGAGGAGGAAATCCTTGTGTGTTTAGGCAAATAGAACACATGACTTATAAAGGAAATAAAAATAGATGATCATCAGATTTTTCAATAGCAAAGCTTTATACCAGAAGAACATGAAATACTATAATTTAAGATACTCAAGGAAAGAAAATGTGAGCTAAGAATTTTATAGCCAGCAAAACTGACTTTGAAAAATATAAGGGAAAGACAAAATTTGATCAACAAGTAAGAACTCAGAAAATATTGTTCCATTGTAACTTTGTCAGGGAATCTGTTAGAAAAGGAGGTTTAACAACCAAAATTACTTCAAAAACATCAACATGAAACACAGTGAACATTAGATATATACTTGTTTGTAGAACTAAGAATATATGATGGTTGAATGAGAGAGATTATCTTACATGATCTGGTAATGAAGACATAGTATAATACTGTAAAAATGAGAAGAAAAAGGGAAGAGGTTATATAAAAATATTGTAACCGTTATGTGTAATTTTAATTATAGTAGTAGTATGAATATTATTGTTCCTACACTATTGTGTTCAAAGGTAGAATAAAGTAAATGGTTAGTCATGAGAATTTATCTCTTATCCTTGTTAATGAGTACTGGTGTAGAAAAGAGAAAAAAAAATAAAGAAGAGGTTTAGGGAAAACCCTATAATCCTAGATCTGAAGAAGAAATATCAATATGAACCCAAGATTTTAAACTAAACACATACAGAATTTCCCAGTTCTGTCCAATGAAAAGGCCTAAAAACAATGGCCAGCCCAATAACAGTGAACATTTTGAAATATTGTTTTCCATTAAAACAAATCAGGGCTTCTAGGAGAAATGGTTAGCACTTTGAGGCTGAGATACACCAAGAGGCCTGAAATATCTTATTGTGCCAGATAGCAAAAAGCTATCAAAGACAGCTAGGCTCATGCAAAACATAACTTAGGAGCTTCTCACTTGGCTAAAGATTAGACAATTTGAACGCCACAAAAAATTTTAAAATCCAGTGGATTAAAATCCATCAGATATGTTTAAATACATGAGTTTATGATGACGAAAGAAAGAAAGAAAGAAAAAAAAATTTTTTAAAAATAAAAAAATAAAAAAATAAAGAAAGAAAGAAAGAAAGAGAAAAGAAAATAAAAGAAAGAAAAGAAAAGAAAAGAAAAGAAAGAAAAGAGAAAGAAAGAAACTAGCCAGTCACCTTTAGAGGATGACAAGGAACCAATTTATTTCTCTTGAAAGAATCAAGACTATATCTTGCCTTTCCTGTATGAACTAAAATTCTTTATGAAGAAATTGTCTTTTTATAAACTTCCTCCACTTAAATGGAAACAAAATGATAGAAAACCACCATTTTGTGACCTTTCATGAATTGAAAAAAATCTAAGCAATGAACATGAGTGGTTGAAAATATTACACACACAAGAAAAGACAAACTAGACACCATGTACCTTCTGATGAAATGGCACAATCCCAACTATAGAGTGGCCAAAGGGATCAAACCTGAAATCGATAGAAGCCCTGGATCCCTCTAGTGATTTACAGAAAATACAGAATAACCTATGGACCTGTACCACATGCATCTAATTGGCCAAATGCAAACTGTGGAAAACTTACAGTACAAGCCATCCAGGTTCTTCAACAGATGGATTATAAGCAAAAGAAAAGGGATGAAAGGGGACACAACAGGTTAAGAGACTAAAGAAATATATCCCAAACTATGGGCAAAACTAAACTACATCATCTGATGATGTGCATTAGGGTGACTAAACCACAAAGAAACATAAGGAAGTCAACACTCTAAAAGTCAGGATAATGGTTATTTTTGGAGAAGA